GCCAAAGGGGAAGGCTGTGAATGAGATGTGGAGCACACCAGATGAAGGTTTGCTGGTCACCTGCCCATAAAGCCCTGTGAGAAGCCTTCGAGGACAACTCCCTTCAAGTCCTGTGTTCGGGTTTAACTTGTCAGCATGAATGGAGCTCACCCTGTTCAGAAACACAGTTCTCTCACTGGGGACACACCCCGCCCAATCTTGCACATGTCTGTGGTCCCAAAGGGACAGGGTGGGGACAAGGATGCAGTGACGGTGGGAAAGGAGGAGAAGATATGACTCAGTGCAAACTCACCATGGGCACTTGGGACATTTCTGTGATGTGCAGGGCCTACTGACAGTGATTTGGGGAGGTCATCTCATGAAAGGAGGCCTCCTGGTCATGCCTTTAAAATGGCATTTCCTTAACAATTTCCATACGTACACTACTCGTCCCATATGGCACGGAAAGACAAGCATACTGAGAATTTGCCTCTTTATTGATGCCACAAGTGCAGAGGAGGTGAGGGTGGCAGGGGTGGCATAGGAGTCAGTGGCACCAGAAGAACTGATCTCCAATCAGAGTCCTGAACAAGGATGGCATTCTAGGGCTTCTCCAACACCATAAAGTAGAGGTGGCTCAGAGGAGCAGACGGTGCATTTCTCAGTATCGATATCTCTCACTTCTCCAATCCTTGTCACTCCTGTTGTTAAACCAAGGCTAGACCAAGAAAGGTCTATATCCTGACAGCTGACTGTCAGCCTTTCAGCTGGCTTCTGCCCCCTCCTCACGAAGGATAGTGTCACTTTCTGTATGTGTGGGAATTTGGGCATGCTAAATAGCGGGCCCTATTTTATGCCATATTGAGGGTAAAGGCTCCCTATTTGAAAATCCTGTCTTCTGAGTGAAGTAAATAATTACTGGGAAAGAACAGAACGAGTATTTATTATTATTATTATTATTATCATCTTTAATCCTCACCTGAGGACATTTGTTTTTTTGCATTGACCTTCAGATAGAGTGGGGGGGGCAGGGAGGGAGACAGAGAGAAACATACACGTGAAAGAGACACATGGAGTAGTTGCCACCCACACGACCCCAACCAGGGCTGGGGACAAACTGCAACCGAGGTATGTGCCCTTAGTGGGAACCAAACCCGGGACTCTGTGGTCCGCAGGCCGATGCTCTAAACGCTGAGCCAAACTGGCCAGGGCCATAATGAGTTTTCAGAGGGAAGGTTTCCTTCAGGGATGTCTATGGGGTAATTAGTTCTCTGAAACCTCTTGAGAGTTAAAAAGGTGCTCTAGCAAGCAAGGCCTCACCATGAGGGTCCCATGTAGTTTGTGCCTTCTCTACTGAGTCATGAGAATCACTGAAAACCCTGGACACTGCCTTGACATTTTAGCCTGTAGTTTTAAGCACAGCTGAGTCCAACTCAACCAACCACCAATTGACTAAAACTCTCAAAAACATCTTCGGCCACGCAAAGGTTAGGAGGAAAAGGCATACCATTGCAACCGCTGTCAATTCTTTTGCTTCTTTTTTGTAATCCTCACACAGAGATATGTTTCTATTGATTTTCAGGGACAGAGGAAGGGAGAGACAGAGAGAATGTGTGTTTGGGGGGGGGAGGTCGGGCATGAATGCAATAGAAAAACATTGTTCAGTTGCCTCCTGTAGTTGCCAGGATGGAACCCACAAGCTAGGTATGTGCGCTGACCAGGAATGAAATCCGAAACCATTTTGGTGCAATGGAATGATACTCCAACCAAATGAGCAACCTGACCAGGGCATAACCATTGTTAATTCTTCACACTCCATCCTGCCCCGCCCTACAAAGTCTCCTGGGCTCCAGACCAGATAAGCTCACTCTGCTCTGGTCCAGGACCCTGGCCCAGAGCCACTGCTGTCCACTATGGCAGGTTATCCTAGGCGCTGCTACCGAACCAGGAGTCCCAATTCCATCCCTTATTCATAAGGCAAAGAGTGGAATAGGCATTTCAGGAAGATAATGAACTACCAGGGTAAGGGATCATAAACTCTTTCCTCCCTGAATATCTGCCAACTATTTCTGCAAACAAAGAAAACCTGTCAGTTAGACTTGTGTATCTTCTCAGTGTCCCAGTTAAGGGAGTTTACATTGTATTTAAATCCTTTAAGTTTCCAAACTGCACATTTTGCGACACAAAGGGCCATCTCTCCCTGCCTGAGACCTTGTTTTTTCCCTCCCCTCTTGGATGTCTTTGTGCCGCGTGAGTATATAGTCTAAACAAGCTGTGGTGGTGGGGGCAGGGGGTGGAGATCCAAATATACCAGTGGTCCAATCTCCAGGAACATAACCAAAGCCCCAAAGCCCCAAAGCCCACAGCTAGCTGTGGTATGGGCTGATATGGGTCTGTATTCCCAGTACCTGTTTCACAAATCGGTTCTATTTGCAAAAGAAGGGAAGAAAACCATGTCGTGTCGTAAGCTCCTTATGAAATTCATGCTGTAGGGTTTGGAAATAGATGAGAACACTAAGTTTTCCCCCTGATTTGTTTCTTGAGGCTCCTACTCCCTTCCCAATGCCACTGAGAGAGCACTATGGAAGCCCGGGGTGGGGGTGTGGTCGCAAGGCACCAAACTGTATGCTCTTTCTTTTCTTCTGCATATGTCTTTCCAGCCTGAGAAAGTGCTCCAAATCTCCTCCCAACCTTCCCAACCTGAGCCAGGCCTATGAGCCCAGGTTATGGTGTCAGCATGCCAGTACTCAATGGGCTGCAGCCTGTTTTTATCACTACACTCACATGCACTCTGTAGCAAAGCTAATAAACCCATCCTGATTTTCTTCACTTTCCTTTGGGTAAAAATCACTTTGATACACCTTTTGATCCCATGACCTACAAACTGGTCATCACAGCCTGCAAGAGTGAAAGAAGTATTTGAAATTAACACAGCTACCAATTTATCTGAAATGGGGGCTGCTTCCTGCCACCAAACAAATTCCATAAAACTCGCCTCTTCGAAACAGTACCATCGAAATGGAACAAAAATCTTTGGGTGTTAGAAATTCCTCAAGAGAATTTTCACTTATGCATTTCACAGATTCACAACGTTCGAATTTGCATCGGATCTGAAAGGCCTTTTTTGACTGTGTGTAATCCTCCTCTAACCTTTTCATCCTTATTAGCCCAATTCATTACTACTTTTTGCCTCTTTGTTTCATTCTGTAGACAGGCTTCCAAAGTTGGAAACTTTCCTCCCATCCTCCCCATGTGATTATTCTAGCAATGTTTTCAGGTTGATACCTCAAAGGGTTTCAGATAAGTGACATTTGGGGCTGCCACTCTTTCCAGTGCCTTACCAAACCCTTAAAAAGAAAAGAAGGAGAACCAGGCGACGGATCATGTAAGCTGTCTTCCCATGTCAGTCTCAGCTTAGCTAAACATGAGTTGTTCATGTAGAGCAGCAATTTTTAACCTTTTTCATCTCATGGCGCACATCAATGAATTACCAAAATTCTGCGACACACCTAAAAATGCGTTGTATGTTTGCCTGATCTGACAAAACGGGTATAATTTTGATTCATTCACACCAGAGGGCTATTGTGTGTTGGCTGTTGTCAGTTTTGTATATGTCAATCTAAGGCAGTGGTTCTCAACCTTCCTAATGCCACGACCCTTTAATACAGTTCCTCATGTTGTATGTGGGCCTATCTGCATGTGGGCAGGCCCGCCTGGAGACGGATAGAGGATCCGTGTCTCGGTTCCTAAGACCATCGGAAATATGTGTTTTCCGATGGTCTTAGGCGGCCCCTGTGAAAGGGTCGTTCAACCCCCAAAGGGGTCGCGACCCACAGGTTGAGAACCGCTGATTCTAAGGGAAAAGAGGTCAGTGCCCCTGACTATAGTCAGGTACTGCATGTCCTAAAATTCTTGCGGCACACCGGTTAAACATTGCTGAGACAGAAAATACTTTGGATAAGTTACTCCACCACCTCCATATTTTTACAAATGCACTGATTTAGTTAAGACCTTCAGCTTGGCTTTACATAATTTAGCACAACTGGAACCTCTTATAAGCCTCTCCTCTGTGCATTAATTTGCATACTCCCATAGGCAGGCTGAACCCCAACAGGAATCTACACAGAAGTGCTCCTTAAAGGATACCAGTGCTAGAAGGAGTTGAACTTTTTTGAATGTACTGATGAGGCTCAAGGCAGGCCGCCCCCAAAATATACCGATGTGGCATGTTGATTGTTTTTAATGAAAGTGATATGGGAAACAGCTGGTGCAAAAAGGACACTCTGACTCTCCTCTCTCTGTCCCCCTAAAAGCAGGTAATAAATCTTCCATATGAAAGGTACCCTCCCTGCACTGGGAGTTAAAGAGACATTCTCATCGCCAGAAATAGGGAATTCAGGACCGAGAGGCCTATACAAAATACATCTGTTAATTCTTGACGAATTTACTCCCCTAAGCAGAACTCGGCTGAGATTCTTCATTGATTGAGCGCCCAAGCCTGAGTCTCTTTGTCTCGTCAATTCCTCACAACTAGATTGTTTCTTTCTCTAAACAGTATGAAAGCTGCCTGCTTTGGACATTTCCTTCGGTCGTATTTCTGTGACACCTCCATATGTATGAATTAAATTCTTTTTTTCTCCTGTTACTCTGTCCCGCATCACTTTATTTGTTAGGCCAACCAGAAGAACTAAGAAGGGAAGGGGGCAAATTTCATTTCTCCCCGACGATACACTTATACGTGTCTTTGTGCATATGGTTAGAGACCTAAATATCTATATGCTTGTAAACAATACACGTTTAATCGTGTACACAGGCGGGAGAAACAGTTCATTTTTTCTTTTCCTTTAAGGAAGTGTGTTCTGTCTGGTATTGGGAAATAACCATAAGCTGGAATTTTCATATCCCATTTCCCTCCACAAAGATGCCTAAAGGCAAAACTTATTTGCCAACATAAAACAGACAGCAAAACACAGCAACGTGAGAATGTCTAGGACAAAGCTGTCCAAGTCCTGAAATTGGTTTTAGGACGATTTCCTGGCCACTCGGCTTTTATCAGGATTACTGACCTGCACTCTGGCTTCGGTCATGCCTATGCGTCTCACAATGATCCTTCTGGGGGGAGAAAACCACAAATGTTTAGTATTTGGAGTTGTGAATAAAATGAAATACATGGATATACACTTTATGCTTGTTTTAACATTTGTATTCTCCCCTCAACAACCTCCACAGGTACACTTTTCTGTCATTCCCAGCACCAGGTTTGCTTTATGGGCGGTTGTCTCTCAAAATTTCAGGTGGCATCAACAGCTGAGTAGTCGGGATAAATCTTTTTAGTGAACTTCAGAAAATTATAAAAATTAATGCAAAGATCTGTGATGAAACCATTATAAAACTTTTGAATAAAAGAAGGATCCGGTTGTTTGCACTACCTCATCCTTCGTACACTGACGCCAAAAATCGTGTTTACAACAGTAGGCCACCAGCACGGGTGATTAAAAAAAAAAAGATAAATCAGACCACATCAACATTAAAATCTTCCGTGCGTCAAAAGGAGTGAAAAGACAATGCACGACATGGCAGAAAATATTTGCAAGTCATATATGTAATAAGGAGTTTATATCCAGAATATATTAAGAAATCTACAACTCAACAATGAGAAAATACTCAGATGGAAAAATGCTCAAATGACCTGAATAAACATTTCTCCAAAGGTGGTAATCAAATGGCTACTAAGCACATGAAAACATGCTCAGTGTCACTAATTAATCATAAAAATAATGCAAATCGAAATCACACTGATAACACCTCATCCCATTACGATGGCTGCTGCCAAAAAATCAGAAAATAACAAATGTTGGGGAAGACATGGCGAAACTGACACCTTTGTGCACTGTTACTGGGAATGTAAAAGGGCACTGCCTGATTCCACCTGCATGAGGCACTTGTACGGGTGTTACACAATAAAGTATCAGTTTTGGAGGATGAACACCCATGCAGATGGATGGCGGGGATGCTTGCACAGTAAGAAGAATGTAAATACCGCTGAACTGTACGCTTAAAATGGTTAAGATAATAAATTTTACGTTATCTGTACTTTACCATAGTGGAAGTGAGAAACAAATTAGTCTTATAAAAAAATTAAAATGGGCAAAGGACTTGAAAAGCACATTAAATGATGTTCAACGTCACTTATCAATAGGGAAATGCAAATCAAAACCATAAGATGCCACTTCACATCCATTCGGATGGCTAATATCAGAAGGCAGAAAATAACACGTGTTGGGAAGAATGTGTAGAAATTGGAATCCTTGTGGCTGCTAGTGGAAATGTAAAATGGTGCAGCTACTGTGGAAAACAGTAGAGCAGTTGCTCAAAAATTTTAAGACAGAATTACCATATGATCCAGCAACTCCTCTTCTGGGTATACACAAGGTAATTGAAAACTCCCAACTGACTTTGCACCGCCAAGTTCACAGCAGCATTATTCACCGTCACCAAACGATAGAAGCAGCAAAATATGGTATTTACACACGATGGAATATTACTCAGCCTTAAAAAAGGAAAGAAATTTGGTCACATGCTACGACACGGAAGAAAGTGAAGTAATCCAGCCACAAAAAGAAAACCACTGTATGATGCCACGTCTAGGAGGCTCCTAGAGTAATCAATTCCATAAGAACAGAAAGTAGAAAGGTGGGTGCCAGGCCGGGGGAATGGAGAGTTCTTTACTGTGTACAGTGTTAGTTAAAAGGTGAAAAGTGTTGTGGGGGTTGACTGCACAACACGAATGCACTTAACACCACTGAACTGTACACTGAGAAATGGTTGAGATAGCCAATTTTATCCTTAAGTATACTTAGGTTAGCAAAATTTGACTTTAAGTGTACATTACCACAATAAAAATAAAAAAAAAATGACCACCGACCAGTAACCAGAGTTGATTCAGGTGGCAATTGTATGAAAATATTCCCTTGACCCGCAGAAGGCATTCTCCTCCCACACCGCTGGGGCACAGGTGGCTTTGTTGGCTTAGAAAGGGAAGGAGAAGGTGCCAGGCCCAGACAAATGTGCCTAGAAATAAACCTGGACCCTTGGGAGAATTGGGCACCTCTTGGAACATGCCACTTACCTTGCGAACCAGTCCGGGTCTTGAGTGTGTTCGTAAATGCTTTCCAGCTCCCGCAGTTGGGCTGGTGTGAAGGTACTGCTTTGCACACTTGGCTGCGCATTGTCCTGCTGCGGCGCCGCGGCAGCCGCCACCTGGGCCATCTCAGCCAGCTGCTGCCGGGGCTCCTGGTCGCCAGCAGCGCCCGCGTGGTTCTTGTGGCTCTCGTGGGTCCCGTGGGCTTCGTGGTCGATGTCAACTTCGTGGCCGATGCTGCCTTCCTGGTCGCCCTTGCGGCTGACGTCGCCTTTGCGGTTGATGCCATCCATGAGGCCCAGATCTTCTTCCTCTTCATTGCCTTCTTCTTTGGCTTCTGGCGCTGCACCCAGCACAGATTCAGATCTTATTTCCTCTTCGACCACACTTTCGTCCTGGCCGGGCAAGCCGGGGTCATAGTAGTCGCCTAGGGGCGGAGGCTCCATGGCTAGGATGCAGCCAAGGTCGAGCGCCTCCAGAAGCTGTGCTGGTCGGACACCCCAACTGTCCGCAGAGGCTGAGGCCAGTTCTCTTTTTGGCGCTAGGTACCGGTTATATCCGGTCTGCGGCAAGTTCAGTGCCTACGTGTTCAGCTTTCAGTGATTGCTATTGGCTTTGTTCCCCTGCCGAGTCGCGGTGGGTGGGGCTTGTTTTGGCGAGAAAGCAGCCGGGGTGTGGCCAAAAAATGGGAGCACTCTGGGGAAGAAGGGTGCTGGTGGTGGGCATGGGTGTGTGGAATCGGGGTTCTAATTTACGTCTCCACTTACTTATCCCGACTTCAGCAGGGTGCTTTATTAAGCAAGCTGACTGGGGTGGAGGGGTGCTTAGGGAGGGATAGTGCAGGGTGTGAGACCTCACAGAACCACAGGAGCCCTGTGGAAAAGATTGGAGAATGTCTCACGAACCAACATTTGGTCGTCGCAGGCCACGGGATAGTAATTAAGCTGAAATGATAAACTACGGAGGTCCTTGCTCTGGGTTTCTGCAAGGACCCTGAAGGCAGTGTTCGCTACGCTTCCCAGGGCGCCAGGAGCTGGATCTCGGGGCTGGGTGTGCACAGTATTCTGGGTCAGATGCCCTCTGCAAGAAACTCAACACAGCCCTGGTGAAGGTTCAAGGAGTCCAGAGTTTAAGTCACAAATCTGTACCAGAGTGCAAGTGTAGAGCCCAGCCCAGCGCTTAGCGCGTCCGAGAACGCTCGCATGGCAGGGGCTCTGGACGCCACACTGGAGTGTGCGTCCTCTTCTTCGGGCCACTCCCAAGTCTCTGGTTGCAGGACCTTCACGCAAATTCAGGGTTCCCTGTGCGGGGCGCTGGCTGTGAAGCCAGGTGTGCTTCCCCCCGTTCTCCTTGCTGCCTCGTCCTTACCTCTCTCTCTCCCCACTTCTTCTAGAAATATCGTCGTCAGCGCTTGCTGAGGAGAAGGATCAAATTCTATTTATTGCCGAGAACAAGAGAGCCAGGCCCGACTGAGGGGCTCTATGGTTCTCCCTTCAGGATGTGCTTTGTAGATGCTCCAGGAGGTGTTGATATCCCAGATACGGAAAATAACTGCTAATAATGGGCCCCACGCTTGGTATCACACATGATTGACCCTATTGTTACTGTCACAAACATCACTGTCTTTGGCATCATTTTAGAAAGTAATTAAAGCATTTTGTGCGACCTCCAAGGTATGGGGCTTAGGAACATCGCAGACTGTGGCCTAAGGGATAAGTGCCCCCTGCTTTTTTGTGGAGGGTGCCTGGGAAATCAGCTAGAAGATGGTGACTGACAGGTGCACTGTGTGCGTGAGTGAGCGAGTGTGTGTGTGTGTGTGTGTGTATGTGTTTGCACTCTGGGTTAGATCAGTCTTTTCTGGGCTGAATTCTTTACAGGGGTGTAGTGTGGGAACAGGGCCAGGGTAATGCTTGGGGTATGACACAGTAAATGTGGCACCGGGTTTTATAACTAACTTTTATGATCGTTGGTGTAGCTGCTCTAGTTTCAGAGGCTAAATGTTGGCAACAGTAAGGCTACTTGTGACTCACAAATGTTTTTGAGCACTTAAGAGTGATTGCAAAGGCGGTGCCTTCAGGGATAAAGAAACTCCTAAAGCCCACCTCGGGCCTTCAGTCTGGTTGTTCCAAACAAGTAGTCACTGCTTTTCCTCCTAAGGGTCTGTAAGCCAGTCAACACTGAAACTCACTGTTCTGCTGGCTGTCCCCAATATCTGTTCTTGCAAGTTTCCTCTCTTGGTCCACGTCTAGGGCACTCAGCAATCCTTAGTCTTTCTTCACAGATACTGAGATCAACATTATTGGTGTTTTGTTGCTCATTCTCCCTTTTGGACAATTACACGAAAAGTGAGCAGGGATATCTTTGCTGTGATATATCAGAGTGCCCTCTTTTTAAAATTTATTTTTCTTTAATTTGATAGCTTGTACAACACTTAGCCTTGTGCTGGCACACAGTAGGAGTGTAATAAATTGTCGTTATTTTCACCTATTGGTTTTCATACATCTGAAATCTTGTCCCTCCTCACCCTGTTTTATTTACCCATTTTGTTTTCTTTTATTTCACCCAACCCCCACCCTCTCCCCTTTGGCAGCTATCAACTTGGCTATATCTGTGGGTCTGTTGTCGTTTTTATGTATTGGTTTTGTTTTGTTTTAGATTCCACATGTAAGTGAAATCTTGTGGTATTTGTCTTTCTCTGTCTGACTTATTTCACTTAGCGTAATTCCTTCTAGGTCCATCTGTGTTGTCGAAAATGTCAGCTTGCATTCTTTTTTATCCATCCCTCTCTGGATGGACATGAAGCTTGCTTCCATAGCTGGCCTATTGTAAATAATGCTGTGTTGAACATAGGGGTGCATATATCTTTTTGAATTAGTGTTTTTGTTCTCTTCGGATATGCATGCTGAAGTGGAATAACTAGGTCATATGGTTGTTTTATTTTTAATTTTTGGAGGACACTCCATATTGTTTTCCATAGTGGCTGCACCAATCTGCATTCCCACCAACAGTGCCTGAGGTTTCTGTTTTCTCCACATCCCTGTCAACACTTGTTACGTGTTAATTATTTTATGATCACCATTGTGGTTTTCATGTGCATTTCCCTGATGATTGGTGATGTTGAGCATCTTTTCATGTGTCTATTGGTCATCAGCATGTCTTGTTTGGAGAAGTATCTATTCACGTCCTCTGTCTGTTTGTTAAGTGGATTGATTTTTTTTTTTTTTTTGGTGTTAGGTATTATGAGTTCCTCATATATTTTGGGTATCTAGTCTTTATCGAATTTATTATTTCGGAATATTTTCTCCCATTCAGTACGTTGTCTTTTCCTTTTGTTGGTGGTTTCCTTCGCTGTGCAAAAATCTTTTTGGAAGGGACTGAGATGAGGGATGGTTCTGCCAGACTGGGGACCAGAACGGGGAAATCAGGCGACAAGGAGACCACAGAGGCAACCAAGAGACAGGAACTCAAATGCTGGGGAGACAGTCCTGGCCTGTTTGGCTCAGCAGTGAGAGCGTCGGCCTGTGGACCAGAGAGTCCTGGGTTGGGTTCCCGCTATGGGCACGTACCTCGGTTGCAGTTTGTCCCCGGTCCTGGTGGAGGTCGTGTGGGTGGCAACCACTCAATGTGTCCCTCTCACTTCGATGTTTCTCTCTCTGTTTCTCTTACCCCCTCTCTCCCTCCTGCTCTATCTGAAGATAAATGCAAAAATGTCCTCAGGTGAAGATTTAAAAAAAAAAATGCTCTCCTCGGGTGAGGATTAAAAAAGGAAAGTGCTGGGGAAACAGGATGCACTAACTCCAGAGGAGCTAAAGAAGCATCCAGGGGGTTCAAGATGGCAGCGTAGGTAAACGCGGTATTGACTCCTCCCAAATCCAGATCAAAATTACAACTAAACTATAACACAACCATCATTCAGAAATGCCTGAAATCTAGCTGAATGGAAGTCCTACAACTACAGAATTAAAGCAGCCACCACGCGGAGACTGGTAAGAGGGGCAGAGGCGCAGTCGGGCTCGTGCCACACCCACGAGTGTGGCGGATAAAATCAGGAGGGACACCTCGGCTGGAAGGTCCTCGCTGAGGAGTGAGGGGTCCCCGTCCCACACCAGGTGTCCAGCTCAGGGTTGCAGTGCCAGGAAAGGAAGTCTCCATAACTTCTGGCTGGAAAAACCAGCGGGAACTGAGGCTGAGGGAGGCTGCGGCTGTGGGAGCCCCAGGCAGTTCCTCTTAAACGGCCAGCCCGTAGACTTACTCGGACTTCCTCCCTCTAAGCTCAGAGGGGAGGCAGCTTGAGGGGCGCCAGAGACACACAGGGAAAAACTGAGCTCTTTGGCCTCAGGATGAGGGCTGGAGAGGTGTCTTTCTCCTGGACAGACAAGGTAGATTTTAGGCACAGTGTTAGACATTGGTAGATTATACGCACATTGTTAGGCAAAGGTAAATTTTAGGCACAGTACTAGGCTGAATGTAGATATTAGGCACAGTAATATGCAAAAGTAAATATTAAGCACAGTATAAGGCGGAGGTGGATATTAGGCACCGTATTAGGGCGAACGTAGATTTTGGGAACAGTATTATGGCAAACATAGATATTAGGCACAGTATTAGTTTGAACGCAGAAATTGGGCACAGTATTATGCGAACGTAGATATTAGGCACAGTATTAGGAAAGGTAGATACTAGGGACAGTATTAGGCGAAGGTAGTGCTGGCCGAGGCTGATGTTGCTTTGGTGAGCCCTTCCCTGGGGTGGCAGACAGCCGCCATGTCTGGGACTCCAGCAACCTGGCTCAGACCGTTTGCCCCGCCCCAGTGATTTCCTGAGGCCCTGCCCCACCCAGCTTTCAGGCCCACCAAAGCTGTTTCCAAAGGCTTTACCATAGAATTGGCTTGTTTTGGATCCTGCTTCAGAGTTTCCTAAAATCTCTCAAACAAGCAGCGTCTATTCTCAGCAAGCCCCATACCTCTTGTTAAGTGTCCCCAGGCCTGGAACTAGACGCAGCCAGCCTTGGTTCACAACTTGGCTTTTCCTTGGTACCTCCAAGCCCAGCACAAGAAATAGCCATCTGCACATCACTTTGTAGCTTATGCTGGGTGGCACCGGATAGAACACAGGCAGTGGCTGACCTTGCCCCGGAGCCAGCACACCCGGTGGACAGCTTCAGACCACATCGAAACACCACCACCCAACCACCTCCCCAAGTGGCACACTCAATGATCGGACTCAGTGGGTACCAGAGTCCTGCTGAAGTAAACCTTGCTCTGTGTGGTGGGCCCCGACACAGCTGATCCTCCAAGGGAGTCAGAGGCCAGTGGTCAGTGGGCACAGCCAGTCCTTGCAGCTGATCGGCCTGAGTAAATCCCTCCCATTGACGTGCCAATGGCAATCAAGACTCAATTACAACAGAAGGGTGTACAGTCCACACTAGGGGTGCACCTTGTGGGCCCAGCTGGGCTGCTCAGGGAGACTGTGCCACTGGACCCTACAGGACACCTACAACAATAGGCCGCCCTACGAAGCCTAGTAGACATCGCAACTCTACCTAATACATAGAAACAATCACAGGGAAGCAACCAAAATGAGGCGACAAAGAAGCGTGTCCCCAGTGAAAGAAAAGAACAAAACTCCAGGAAAAGAATTAAGCAAGATGGAGATAAGCAATCAATCAGATGCAGAGTGCAAAACATTGGTTATAAGTAAGGTTGATCAAGGAACTAGGTGAGACGCTCAAAGAACTTAGTGAGACATCAACAACATAAAAAAGGACCAGTCAGAAATGAAGGCTGCAATAACTGAAATAAAGAATAATTTACAGGGAATCAATAGTAGAGTAGGTGAAGCCAAGAAGCAAACCATCGATTTGGAATATAAGGAAGCAAAAAACACCCAATCACAACAGCAGAAAGAAAAAAGAATCCAAAAAATGAGGATAGTGTAAGGAGCCTCTGAAACAGCTTCAAGCGTGCCAACATCCGCATCACAGGGGTGCTGGAAGGACAAGAGAGAGAACAAGAAATTGAAAACCTATTTAAAACAATAATGACAGAGAAATCCCCTAACTTGGTGAAGGAAACAGATATACAAGTCCAGAAAGTATAGAGTCCCAAACAAGATGAACCCAAAAGGGCCCACACCAAGACACATCATAATTAAAATGCAAAAGTTTAAAGACAAACAGAGAATCTGAAAAGCAGCAAGAGGAAAGCAGTTAATTACCTGAAAGACTGTCAGCTGATTTCTCAACAGAAACTTTGCAGGCCAGAAGGGAGTGGCAAGAAATAGTCCAAGTGATGAAAAGCAAGGACCTAATAACCAAGATTACTCTATGCTGCAAAGCTATCCTTTAGAATTGACGGACATATAAAGAGCTTCCCAGGCAAGAAACCAAAGGAATTCAACACCACTAAACCAGTATTATATGAAAGGTTAGAGTCTTCCTTAAGAAGAGGAAATAAAAACTATGAACAATGAAATGTCAATAAACACATATCTATCAACAACTGAACCTACAAACCAAATGAACAAGCAGAACAGAAACAGACTCATAGATACAGAGAACTTTTTGATGGTTGCCAGTTGGGAGGGGGTTAGGGGGGGATGGGTGAAAAACAGGAAGGGATTAACAAGTACAAATTGGTTGTCACAGAATAGTCATGGGGATGTAAAGTACAGCATAGGGAATGTAGTCAATAATATTCTAATAACTAGGCATGGTACCGAATGGGTGTGGGGTTTATTGGGGTAATCACGTATTAAGTTACGAAACGTCTGGTCACTGGGGTGTACGCCTGAAACTAGTATAATGATGTATGTCGACTGTAATTAAAAATAAAAAATGGCCCTGGCCAGTGTGGCTCAGCGGGAAGAGCGTCGGCCCAGGGACCAGAGAGTCGTGAGTTCGATTCCAGTCAAGGGCACGTACCTCGGTTGCGGTTCAGTCCCCCGCCCTGGTCGGGGTGGTGCGGAAGGCAGCCAGTCGGTGTGTCTCTCTCACATCGATGTTTTTATCTGTCTCTCTCTCTCTTCCTCTCTCTCTCTCGCACACACACACACACTCTGTCTGAAGACAAAAATGGAAAAATATCCTCAGGTGAGGATTAAAATATGAAAAAATAAATTGAAATTTATTTTTTAAAAAAAGAAATCACATCCCACAAAACTTGAACGTATAAAAGTAAACTCCCTAATAACACGGGCTCTTGGGCCTCCACATCCTTAAGAGTTTTATAAAATACAAAACAGTTTTTGCGCATTTATTTGACTGCCAAACAATTATAAGTAGGAATTCCTTGCCTAACTATTAATAACCTCATAATGATTCTCACGACGTCAAAAGAAAAGTTACATGCTATTGAATTTAACTGGATCAAGATATTCATAAAATAAAATAATATGTACAATACAGTATAAAACCAAAAGAAAAAAGAAAAAAATAGCCGTTTTCCCTCTAGTGTCTGACATGATTAAAATGCACACTGAAAGAGAACAGCATGATCTCCATCCAGGACCATACCAGGAAGTGGTTACAAAAATTGCTATTTACACAAACGGAACCTGGAGTCAGACGCAAAGATAGTGCCCAGGACTGCTCTTGAGAGTGACTCCTTGAGTGGAAGCTGCAGGATTAGTTCTGGGAGCCTGGGCTGAGCTGAGGCCCCAGGACTGAGGGAAGAATGTGAGCAAGAGTGGCGGCCACAGGCGCAATAAGAGGCTTTGCTGGGTTTGGGTATCTTCAAAGTAAGGCTATGCTTCCCCCATCCCTAGGCAAAATTCTGGAATCATTGCTGCTGCTTGAGGAGGAGGCGATCCCGAGCTCAGATGGGCCAAGGTTTGGGATGCCTTGGCTCGCAGGACCCGATGCGGGTCCCCACCCCTAACTCCACCACACCCTGCCCCAAACCTGAAGGAACCCAGGAAACAGATTTGGTCCATCCACAAAGTTCTTCCCTGGGGCTGGGGGGGTCTCCCTGGCAACCAGAAGTCTTGTGTGTGTCAATGTAAATAAACCGATCAGGCAAACAGGCACAGTCTCTATTCCTCGTGAGTCCATCCCCCTCTTCTCCTCCAAGCAGACTGAAAGCCATGGCCTTCCCCAGGCTTGAACTTGAAATAACTGAAGGCAAAGATGGCAGGAAACAAGATGTATTTCACAAAAATGTCATTTTAATAACACCAAAGATCATTTTAGTAACAGCCAATTCTACTAGTGTTGCGGGTGTTTCTCGGGTGTGTGTGTAAGTCACACATTGTATGACATAGCGTGCATACCATGTCGTTTTATATATACACGTGGGCGAGTGTCTTCTACCCTGGCATGGCCATGCGAAAAAGGTAGCATGAACAAAGCCAAAGTCTATCTGCTACTTTTAAATGCAGTGATTATTCTGAATCATTTCATTGCTCAAGGACCTGCTCCTCCTTGCTTCAGACAGCACTCGAGTAAGAGGTTCCTTTCAGTGTTGAATTAGCTGGAAGTGGGGTTCTCTCAGGGATGTTAAAGGTGACAAAATACACTTGAAGGCGTGGTTGTCAGCTCTGAGCTGGGGAAGGAGCAACACCAACACTCTGGGAGAGGAAGGGAGCAGGGCCTTGTGCTGGCCTAGACGGAGTCTCTTCTCCTATTACCTTTGAAGAGGCTGGACCCTTCCTCTAGAATGGTTTGTATCCCCTTGTCCCCTCCACAAAAGGGAAGAAGTGAAGGGAGCTTGGAGAGTAAGGGATGAATGCCTGGCTCTCACTTCTCCATATAGCCCTGTGAGTAACCGCTTAGGAAGTTTCCCTTAAAGTCCTGTGTTGTGCCTGCGCTGTCACCCTGAATGGGGCCGAGGCCTGCCTTGAAACTCACTGCTCTCTCCTCAGGGACTTGCCCCACCATGTTTTGTGTATCTGTGTGGTCCCCGTGCACAGGGGTGGGAGTGAGGGGAGAGAGAGGGGGGCGCTGAGGTGTTGGGGGACAGGGTCGGTCTGCTCCGTTGGAATGGCATTTAGCAATTCCCGTCGCATTTACCAACCCCATGTGACACACAAAACAGATATATAGAGAATTCACAACTTTAATGAAACGACAAAGAACATGCCCTAAAACAGTGGGTCAGTGATTTTATACTTTGATTTCATACACAAAGCAGATATTTGGTGAACTGTTACTCGTGGTGAGGTATGCAGAATTTGCATCTGGCTCAAAACCGTCACAGAAACCATTCCTTAGAAAATGGGGACTATAAAAGGGGCATTCACGGATAGAACACGGAAAAATGCCAGGCCCAGACACGTCGGTGGGGGCCACCAGGAAGCATAGGTGGAAAAAACAAGGGCGGTGGAGGAGGCAAAATCCGAGGAGGAAAGGGTAGCATGGGTGGCAGCAGCAGCCCCAACGGCAGTGGCGGAGGATACCATATCCAAGCCGGCTGCAGATACCATATCCAAACAGGCTGCGGATTAATGATGGTAATGTGGGGTACACCCAAATTAATGCCGACACGGTTGCCCAGGGCCACGCGATGCACATTTCTCAACGTAAATGCCCTCTGTCGTCTCCTCCTATTCTTATACCAAACCTTCAATCAGAGAGAAAAAGGTATTCGTTTAGTACATTGAGCATTTAATGTCATACCTGGAAAACAAACAAACAAACAAACAAACAAAAACCAGTAAGCAGCTATCTGCACCCTTAAGATTTAAAAAGTGCATCGGAGGAAGCTATTTCCTTCTTGCTCAAGCATCTTAGGAGAGTTCCCACCACGGGAACTTTAAGCTCACCTACAGTGAGTACTGTGTGCCAGGCTAAGGCTTGACTCTCTCTCCTCCCACTTTTAAATTTATTTGTTCCTACTCTTATATGCAGGTGGAACTGAGGAACTGCTCTCTGTGCCTGCTGTTATTGCTATACCTTGCATGCCCGTGTCCTGTGGGGAAGCAGATCATAGTAAAAAGTGGGTGCCTTTTACAATCCTGCTGAGGGGAACAGCCCCCATTTTGAAAAGGCCTATGTATCTTTAGTGTACAGTAAAGGGTCAATAAGGGGTGCATTGAAGTTTTAAACAAAAGCTTTCCTTCATGGATGCCCAAAGGGTCATTCATCATCTGAAACCTCTTAATAGTTAGAGATGGTATTGTGAGGGAGGCTGGGTCATGGGGGCCCAGGGAGTTTGTGGCTTGTCTTGCTGGGACACGAGAAAAGCTGAAGACTTGGACGTTGCCTTAGACTTTTAGAATTTTGAGGTAATGGATGTTTCCACAGACTTGGCCCAAATTTCTTAAAACTCTAAAAATCTTTGCCCAGCCAAGAGTTTGGAGGGAAGAAACCAAACCGTTGTCACAACTGTCAGTTCGGCTCGCTCCACCCCGCCCCACCCTCCAAACCTTTCTGGACTCAGGACCACGTCAGCTCACTCTGCTCTGGCTACAGTTCCAGGACCCTCAACCAGAGCCACTGCTGTTGGCATGGTGGGGCCCCCATGACCTGCTACTCAACCAGGGAATCCCCATCCCATCCCTTATCCTTAAGGCAAGAAAGTGGAACTGGTATTTTAAAGATAGACACGACCATTTGGGTGTGTGTGTGGGTGGGGGGGGGGTGTCCACAAGATTACTCCTCCCTAAATATCTGCCGACTATTTTTGCAAACAAAACTGTCAGACTCCACTGTATTCTCAGTGTCCTAGTTATTGGGGTTTACATTGTTTTGGAAGTTTTCAAACTGCAAACTTTAAGGGATACAAAGGGCCTTCTTCCGCTGCCTGAGGCCACATTTTCCCTCTTCGGTCTTAAAATTTGGGTCCTTCTACTGCAAGCATCTGTTGTCTAAAAAAGACACCGTAAACAAGGTCATTTGGGGGGGATCCAAGTGTACCCACGGTCAAATCTGCATAAGCATAACCAAAACACACACATCGGGCCAATACTACTTCCTTATTCCAATGCCGGTTTCATAAAACAAGTCTTACTCTATTTGCAAAATAGATGGGGTGGGGGGAGGGGGGACCTCCCTTAAAATTGCTTTGGACTAACACTGTGTGACCTCACTAATTATTTTTTTTAATAATTTAACCTGGTGAACCGCAGTTTTCCCATCTTTATTTTATTTATTTTTTATCCTCACCTGAGGACATTTTTGCATTTTTATCTTCAGACAGAGCAGGAGGGAGAGAGGGAGGAAGAGAGAGAGAGAAACATGGATGTGAGAGAGACACATCAAGTGGTTGCCACCCACACGACCCCCGCTGGGGCCGGGAACAAACTGCAACCAAGGTACGCGCCCCTAGCGGGAAAGAACCCGGGACTCTCTGGTCCGCGGCCGGACGCTCCCACCGCTGAGCCAAACCGGCCAGGGCTGACCTCACTTATTATATATGGAATCTAAAAAAATCTAAAAAGCCAAACTCACAGAAAAACAACAGATCTGTGGTTACTAGAGTGGGGGGTTGGGCACAAGAAGTTGGAGGAAGGTGGTCAGAAGGTACAAAGTTCCAATTATAAGATAAATAAGTCCTCAGGATATAATGTACAACATTATGACTACCGTTGACACTGCTCTGTGGTATAATATGAAAGTTGTTAAGAGGGTAAATCCTAAGAATTCTCATCACAAGGAAAGAACACATTATTGTTTTTTTGTATCTATGTGACATGATGGATGTTAACAAAACTTATTTTGTCAGTCATTTCCCCATCTATGCAAGTGAAATTATCGTGCTGTACACCTTAAACTTATCCAGTGCTGTATGTCAATTATATCTCAACAAAACTGGAAGAAACTTCTTGGTGGAATTCATGCCATAGAATTTGGAAATGGATGAGAACATTTTATTTGTTTCTGTGGCTCCTTTTCCCTTGTAGTACCCCACTGAGACAGCACTATGCAAACCCATGGAGGGGGGAGGAGGTCACCAAAGCAAACCGAAGTGTTTCTTTTCCTCTGAGCTGGCTTTGCCTGCAGGGAGAAAGTAGAGTTCCTGGTCTTCCCAAGCCTGGCCAGCCTTGACTGTGATCCCTGACCTTAGCACTCAGTGGCCGGCTTGGTGGGGCTGCTTTCCAGACAGCCCACCACCAGATCTGCAGACAGATTCCATCACTGCACTCACACATATTCTGCAGCAAAGCTAATAAGCCCATCCTGATGTTTTTCTCTCTCTTTTCTTCTCCATCCCCTTCCACCCTGATTTTTTCTTTGACACAACTTGTGTTTACCTATGGTCTCAGAAAATCATCACCTCTTGATCCATTGACCTGTGTTAGTCATCACTGGCTGAGCAAATGAAAAACTATTTCAAATTACCACAGGTGAGAATCCAACCTGATCTAAAAGCCACTTCCCACTACCAACAAGTTAGACACAACCCATCTCTTCACAAAAAGGATGAAAAAATCTCTTAGGTATTAGAAATTCCTCAAGGGAATATTCATTAATGCATTTGGTAGTTCCTAAAATTTCACCATGTGTGGTATCCCCGAGGCACATGTTCCACTTTATATGAATCTTGCCTAACACTTCCACTTTTCTGAGGTTGGTGAAAGTCTGAAGTTGTTTTAGTTTATTTCCTTTTTTAGACATATTTCAAATGTTGTAACTCTTTGTTCCATCTCCACCATAATGCACAACCTACTATGTTAACCATGTTTGCAGGCTAACATATCTGAGTATTCCAGAAAATTAAATTTTAGGGCTGCCACTCTCTACAGTTTTACCAAACCCTTCAAAAGAACAGCAGGAGAAACAGGCACTTGGACTTGGAAACTACCCTCACCATTAGTCTCACCTTAACTAACAGACATTAGTTGCTCATCTGTTGCATTCTAATGTGTGAATTATTCCCTCCCCAATCCCTAAATATTTATAAATTCACCCCTTATGCAATGAACTTATGCTTGCTTTTAAATAATTTAGTATAATGGAATTCCTTGGTTCATTAATATGAATAATTTCCACTTCACACTTAACCCCAATGTGACCTCACACAGAAGTGTTATCTCAAGGATACCAGTGTTAGGAGTTGAACTGTGTGTGTGTGTGTGTGTGTGTGTGTGTGTGTGAGAGAGAGAGAGAGAGAGAGAGAGAGAGAGAGAGAGAGATACACATGTAATATGTAAGTAGATATAGCTATAGCTTATACAAAGATATGTATCTTTGTATACAAGGAATAGTGTACTATAGTAATTCATTTTTTCAATTGGAAATCGTGTTCCCTCTGATAAGGGCAATTTCCAAAAGCTAGAGTGTACTTATCTTATTAACTAAGGCCCCCAAATTTGTTTTCCAATGATGGGAAAGGCAACAAAAACATACCAACTTGAGAATGTCTTGGACAAAGGAGTGTAAGTCCTGAAACAGGTTTTAGAATGGCTGCCCTGCCTAATGGCTTTATTCAGGTTTACTGACCTGCACTCTGGCTTCAGGCACATTCATTCGTCTGGCAATGTCCTGTCTGAGAGGAGAAAACCACAAATGTTCAGTATTCAGAGATGTGGATGAAAGTTAAATATAAGATGTTATTTCATTCTTATTTAAATTTTTCAGGGTAATGTCAGTGATTTACTTTATGAACCAATTTCTGTAGTAGGACAACTCACACCATTTCAGGATTTACAGTGAAATTAAGTCGACAAAGCATTTTTAAAAAGCCAAGTCTCATGGAGGCATGGTTCCCAAGAACACATGAAATTCTAACTCACTGTTTCTTTCAGTGTTACCAACTTCAAAGTGACTAAAAATCTCTGACTGAGGAAACATCTTTACCAACTTTCACCCATTGCTCTTACACATTTTATGGATTAAATTAGATCCTTAAATGACTTGGCCTTCCTGTTTATCTATCTATCATCTATATCTATCTATCTATCTATCTATCTATCTATCTATCTATCTATCTATCATCTATCATCTATCTATCTATCTATCATCTATCATCTATCTATCCATGATGCATAGATTGTATTACATTCCTAGTAGATGCTAAAAGATGACACAAACTCTCACATTCTTTGATTGTGCCTATTTAAAAATATTTTAATCAGCAACTCCTCCTCAACACCACCACCATTCTGTAATATCTAGCTTGAGGCTTGCTTTAGAGTCTCCTCTCAAGAGCAAAGTTTAAGAGGATGCAGAAACATCACTACTCAAGGTAAAGAATTTTCAAATGCAGCATTAAAAAATATAAATCAGCCCGGGCCAGTTTGGCTCAGCGGTTAGAGCGTTGGCCTGCGGTCAGAGAGACCCCGGTTCGGTTCCCGCTAAGGGCATGTACCTCGGTTGCAGTTCGTCCCCGGCACTGGTTTGTCATGCAGGTGGCAGCCACTCGACGTGTCCCTTTCACGTTGATGTTTCTCTCTCTCTCTCTCTCCCCCTCCACTCTATCTGAGCAAAAAATGGAAAAATGTCCTCCAGTGAGGATAAAAAAAAAAAATGGAAAAATGTCCTCGGGTGAGGAGATTTTATATATATATATATATATATATATATATATATATATATATATATATATCAATGCCAAAATAATCTATGATGAACAGATTTGTGCCCATTTTAAATTAAGTTAGGATCCGGTTCTAATAGAACGTTATTTGAAACAACAGGCGCCTGTTTCCCAGTTTGATTCATTTGAACACCACACGATAGCCTTGGCCCAGTGGCTCAGTGTCCTCCTGTACACCAAAAGGTTGCAGTTGGATTCAGGTCAGGGTACATACCAAGGTAGTGGGTGGATCCCGGTTGGGGCGTGTACGGGAGGCAACCGATGGATTTGATGTTTTTCTCTCATATTGATGTCTCTCTCTCTCTCTCTCTCTCTCTCTCTCTCTCTCTCTCTCTCCCCTCCCTCCTTTCCTTCTTCTCTGTCTAAAAAGCATATAAATAAATAGCATACATACACACAGCATGACATTATTTACCTCGAGTTCCAAAAGGCATAGCGTCCCCCGCCCCCGACTCAAGTGCAGGAGAGCAGCTGCCCTCCCCTCCCCACAGCCTCCAGTCCCCCAGGTAGTGTTTAGTTCAGGAGAGAAGGAGAGGGACACGTGAGAGAGCGCCAACGGCCGCCCTGGCCCATTGCCACAGGGTACCTGAAAAGGGCGGCCAACGCCCTCACTCCGCTTACCTCAGCAGGAAGCCGGGATAGGGGTTGTGTTGGAAAATGTGCTCTAGCTCCTGCATCTGCACCTCAGTGAACATGGTACGCTGGGCCAACTGCTGCTGGTCCCCTGGCAGTGGGTGCTGGACGTCGGCCAGGAGGAGCTGTTCCTCCTGCTCTTGCTCTACTGGTTCTTCGTCACTATCGCCACTGCCCTCCTGGTATTCGTCGTACATGGGGCCCGGGGTGCCTAGGCCGCCTGGGCCACCATGGCTGCCTTCTTTGGCTTCTTCTTCAGCTCCTACCTCTTTTCCTTCTGCGGATGCTGCTCCCTGCTCAGGTTCGGGCTGTGTACCCTTTTCCTCTTCTCCCTCTCCGATCAGCAAGATACCCGCAGACGTCACTTCTACAAAGGAAGAAACCCAAAGAGAAACATTAGGGTGTTACGTAGCCCAGGCTGTGGGAAGGAGGAGGTGAGTGGCTGCGTCCGAGGAGTGTCCCGGTCCGCTCGCCTCCCCCAGAAAACGTTGGTTTCTTGGAGTTGGCTGAAGCGCCTGTCCCGACCAGCACGAACCACGCAGTTCTCCCCCATCTTCCTCCACTCCTAGGCTGAGGAAGCCAGCGGCATCCTGGCTGTGCTGGTCCTGAGCCTTCATGTCCTGCGTGCTGTCCATGACGTGGTAACTTCCGCAGATGCTGCCATGCGGCCTGGCTCCTTCAAGGTTCTTCTGGCGTCTAGCCAGGCAACTGTTCACCGGGTGCTGGGGGTGGGGTGGGTGTGCCGAGGTGCGCATGCGGCAGGGGTTACGGCAAAAGGGAGGGTGTACTTGTAAGAAGGGCTCTGGTAGGGCGCATGCGTGAGAGCATAACTTGGGCCTCCAAGTTGCAACTTAGCCGACCGCTCCGGACTTGGTGGAGCGTCTTCCCAGAGGACCCGCCTGTGCTGAATTGTGCAAGCCGATTTGTGGAGAGTAAACGGCAGACCTCATACTAGCTCCGGAGACCTCGGAGAAATGTTTACATAATATCTCTTGGCCTAGCCTCCATACACAGTGTCCAGTATTAAGCAGGGAGTAGTGATCAAACTATATAACTAGCTAGGAGGTTGCTTGCTGAGTTTTTGCAATGAGGCTGATGTCAGACCCTACCAAGCTTCTCAGGTCTGCAGAAACAGGAGCTTGAGGTTGGCTTTTCTGAGCATGCCAGGTGCTCAGATGCACTATGCAAAACAAAACACAAATACACAACCACCACCACATGTGAGTGATATCATATAGTACTTGTCTTTCACTGACTGGCTTATTTCACTTAACATAATGCTCTCCAGATCCGTCCATGCTGTCACAAAGGGTAAGATTTCCTTCATTTTTTTTTTTTTTAATGGATGAATAGTATTCCATTGTGTAAATGTACCACAGCTTTTTTTTTTATCCACTCATCTACTGATGGGCACTTACTTGGGCTGTTTCCAGATCTTGGCTATTGTAAACTAACAAACAAAATAGAAACAGACTGAGAACAGACTGACAGTTGTCAGCAGGGCTGGTTGAAAAAGGTTAAGGGATTACGCAAAACAAAAAAAGAAAGAAAGAAAAAAAGAAAACTCATAGTCACAGACAACAGTATGGTGATTACCAGAGGGAAGGGGATGGGGAGAGGTAGAAGAGGGGATAGGGGCAATGAAAGGAGACTTGACTTGAGGGTGGTGAACACACAATACAATATACAGATGATATATTATAGAATTGTGCACCTGAAACCTATCGAATTCTACTAAACAATGTCACCCCAATGAATTTAAAAGGAAAAACAATCATCAGGCACACCGGTTGAGTAAGTCCACTGCTTATAAACTTTTAGTAATGAATCCATTTCCACTTGCAGGAGTAGAAACCCACACAGTGTTTAGAGCATAGAAGACTGCCCAAACTGCAAGAGGCTCCTGGTTCTTATCGTGGATAACGTCTCTTCTGCTGTGCCTATGCCTATATTCTCTCTTCAAAAGATCACTTGTTCCCTGTGCTAGGTGGGTGCTGTGGACCTGGTTGAGTTTCTCCCTTTCCTGCTGCTGCCACCTCCCATTTTCCCCTACATCCCCCTTTTCCTTGAAATAGCTTCCTGAGCTCTTGCTTAGGAATTAATAAACTGTCAAACAAAGAGAGCCAGGACAGATTGAAGGCTGTTAGATTCTTTCTTCAAGGAGTGTTTTGTGGATGTTGCAACATGTGTTCAAATTCTAATGTTAAAACTAGGCTCTAACAATGGGCCCTGTGCTCAACAATGTATGTCAATTAGCTTATTTTTATCTGCACAATCACCATGGTCATCAACCCTATTTTTTTTTTATTCATTGTACTATATAGTTTATTCAAACCAAACTATGATAATACGGAGAAGAGACTGAGGTCCCAGCTGCTCAGAATCTTTGTAGATTACAGATGCAAACTGGCTGGAGAGGAGTCCTTGGACCCACACTTCAGTAAAAGACAGGCAAGTCAGTTGCATAAATCCAGAGAACATAAGACAGACATTTCACAGCTTTTTACTTTGCATTTCCATTTTAGACATATGCATGTTACAACTTTACATTTTAAAATTACTACTCCACACATTTTGTGGCAATGGCTAAGGATACAATGGTCTCAACCCCCCGACATAAGCAGATTTTGCTCTGCAACATGGAGCATTTCAGTGAGATACCAAACAAATCCTTAACACAGAACATACAAAAAGATCCTAAAAAGATCAGATTAATACAATGCTCTTTATGTTATATGAGCAGGAAAAAAGGGGAGCGAAAACACAAGACCTTCAGGGTACTTTAAATGTATAGTATCTTGAGGTCTTAAAAGTTGCATTCCCTTCCTCCAAGGGGAAAATATTTTAATGGAAAAAAGAAAGCAACATCAGGAAGCCCTACAATGAGGAAAAACACTATCCTGACAATGCTGAGATGCTTTTTTGTAATAAATACAGGTAGCAGAGCAAATGTCACAAATACTGGCTGTTTTTATTTCTATGCTTATAAAAATAAAAATAAAAATACTAAGCTTCTTTGTGTGGACTGAACAGTGTTAGCCTGTGGGTGTTGGTCTCCGGTTCCTGTACACCAGTGGCTGTTTTCATTCCAGGCCCATCCTATAGCAAGCTCCAGTGCCAGCTGTCTGCACGCTACTTCCCAGGGGAGGAGTTGACTTCACTTGACTGCAACAGGGTTCCTGGCTCAGTTACACGCTCATGTGTTCCAGAAGAACATATGAAATATCATCCCATGGGTGACGATACAGCCCCTGCTTCAGCCTCTTCTGATCAAGATAGTGTCCAATGAAGCCCATACTCCTTCCCAACACGAAGATGCCATTGAGGGCTCCAATGTCAATATATTCATCAGCTTCTTCCCGAGTAAAGGACCCACAGTTTCTAAGCATGTCTACAAACGCAACTCCAATGAAGCCATCTACATTCAGGATAAGATTTGGTTTCTTTGAGGTGGTAATCTTTCCCACTTCCAGCGCATAGTCGAGCAGGGGGGTGGCAGGGAAGTGCTGTTTGACATCATCTTTGAGGATCTGCACTCGCATGTCTGGGTTGTTTATCGACTTCACTCGGTGACCGATGCCCATGATCAGTTTTCCTTCCTTCTTCTTGTTCACAAATTCCATGGGGATAATGCCACTGTCAAAAGCTTTGCTGAACATCTTGGCTGCTGCATCCAGGGCACCCCCAAATCTGTCCCCAATGGTGGGCAGCCTGAGGTGAGGCTGGAGACCAGGTCCTTCCCAGCCCGAGCACAGATAGTGGTGTTATGAGCCCCAGACACTGCTGGCCCGTGATCAGCCGTCACCATCAGGCACATCTCAATGAACTGGCAGGAATACTTGGGTAACCTTCTCTGGAAACAAAGGAGACCAAGGACCCCACCAATGCCCATCTCTTCCTTGAAGACCTCAGTGATGGGCATGCCTGCGTAGATGAGTTCCTGTCCCCGCTCATCGCAGATGCTGGTCATGAATGAGGCAGGTTTGCGGATCAAGCCCAGCTCCCTGGCCCAGGAGTAGTCCATCGGCACTGTCGGGGGAGGCACCTCCTGAGCAGGTACAATGACACCTTTGTTGACGAGATCATCGTACACAGACTGCATGATTTCTCCAAGTTCATCGAAGCTCCAGGGCACAAACACTCCTGCCTCCTTCAAAGCCTGGTTCTTGGCTACTGCAGTTTCAGAAGCCTGGTTGGCACAAGCTCCAGCGTGGCCAAATTGTACCTCAGAGGAGAACATGGTGGCACAGGTTCCGATGCACCAGCAGACCACGGGCCTGGGACGTGGCCCTCCTTGATGCCCCGGCAGATTTTATACTCTTCAGTGCCCCCTATCTCTCCAAGAACTACGATCATTTTGACTCCTGGGGTGTCCTGGTAACGTAACACATGATCCATAAACGTGGAGCCGGGGTGCCTGTCCCCACCAATGGCCACGCCCTCATAGACGCCATCTGTAGTCCGAGAGATGATATCGTTGAGCTCATTGGACATGCCTCCAGAATGCGAGACGTAAGCCACGCTGCCAGGGCGGTACAGCTTGGAGGCCAGGATGTTGTCTAGCATCCCACCGGTATTCCCGATCTTAAAGCACCCGGGCTCGATGCCTCCAACAGTGGCAGGTCCAATGATGGTCACCCCCTTCTGGTCCGCCTTCTTGATCAGTTTCCTTGTGAGGGCCTCAGGGATACCTTCAGCTGTGAGGGCAATGGTCCGGATCTGTGCATAATTCATGGTCTCAATGCTACTGTCATAGGCAGAGCGAAGAGAGGCGAAGTTGATCAGCACGTCTACCTCTGGGTGTTTCTTCATGGCATCAGCCATGTTCTTGAAGACAGGGATCAGGATCTCCTTGTGACCCCAGTAAAACTTCTGCTTGTGGTCCCCAGTGAAAGGGTAGACCATGGCGGCCACCGAGGGCTCGTCTTGGGAGCAGACGTAATTGAAGTCCAGCATGCCTTGCACAGCCCTGGTCTGCATGCCTCACACAATGGCCTTGGTATGGCGGCTGAAGAGGGTGGCGCTCTTTCCTTACGGCACAGTGGGCTTGGCCTTCTTTGCAGGAGTCACTTCATCGGCCCTGGACTCAGAAAAAGACGCAGTCCTGCTGGGGGCTGGAGTCAACGTGCTCCCACTGGCATTGAGGAGGAAGTTTGCAGTGTGGGCGGCTGTGGGCGGCTGATTGGGGATGGGCCGGTGACCCAAGGCCATGCCCACAATGGCTATCATGTGAGTCTCGGTACCAAACACGTCGATGGGGATCCCCGTGTTCTTCCCAACTTCTCCCATCACTCGTAAGCCCTCCTGATAGTTGGGGCCACCTATTCGGACAAAGATTGTACCTCATGATCTTTCAGGGGGCCCTGGTAATCTCGAATCGCTCTCACGATGCCCTTGAACGTGGCGGCCACATTGGTAAAGTTTGCGATGCTGCCTCCAATGATGAGGATCTTTCCATCTGGGTGTTTCTCATGGGTCATGCGAGAGAGAATCGTCTTGGCATAGTCATAGGTCTGCTGCTCACTGGGGGCACCCGAGTACTCCCCGTAGTTCGCCAGCTCATTGACACTCCCTAGATCGCAGATGGTATCACTGTACACGACAGAGGCACCACCTC